GAGAGAGAAGGACTGCAATGACTGAGAGAGAGTAAGAGAGGAAGTAATTGAGAAGGCTGATCTGCCGTCTTTTGGACAAACATCATGCATCTGGCCCTGGTAAGAGTCTGAGTGCATTCGGACTTAGCTTCCAATTGGGCCCGGAAGCTCCCTCCCAGATTATCCATCCCGTTTGCGGATTGTTATTTCTTCGCTGCTTCGGTCGAGCACAGTGTGGGAAAGGCTAGCATCCAATCAATGCTAGAACGAACTCAGGAATACTTTCTGGTCATTTGGGAAGCAAAAAAAAAGAAAAAAAAACGTTAACCGAGATCAGTCTTCAAAAGGAAGTGTAACAGGCGATCAAAACGTATCACAGCACCCTGCCGCTCGCTGAGGACCTCGGATGCGGGCGCAGCGAGTGACAGGCGCTGTGGCCCCTGGCTTTAGCGAACGGTAGGCGACCCCTCCCCGGGTTTCCTCACACCGGGCTGAACCCTGGTGTGGACCGGTTCAGTCGGAGCATGCCCTTAGCAAAAGGGTGCGCCACAGGGCTTTCCATTGGTCCACGCAGGCTCGGCGCCCTGCTGTACAGCAGAGCACAACCGGCCTGTGGCCGTGGTAGCTGTCGGGTTCGCCCTGGGACGCGAAGGTGAGAAGACTGGCGCAGTCTTTTCTACTGCACGCCGAGTGTCCTTCTACTGGGTTATCGGTCAGGTATACAGACCAACGGTCACTGTCATAAAAAGACAAGGCTAAGGAATGGGAAAAGGAAAATTAGATGAGCAGTTGAGAGCCTAGTCTATGTGAACTGAAGGTTGCTAATCGAGAACACTCGATGCTCCATAGTCGTTCGTCACTAAAAGTCGTTATCTATTATATTATTATTACTATTATTATTATTATATCTCCGTCAGCTGATATCTGACGTGGTGCTTCTCTTTTCAACTTGTCACCTCGTGGGGAGGCCAACAGTTCAGGCTTTGAGTTTGGGTGGCGGTTTATGGCCTAGTCAGGCCCGACCCCTTGCATGTCATCTGTACTGGGCCTGCTCGTCTGAACTCTGCGCTAGTAGGGCCCTGGTAGCTGTATTGGGGGCCAGATACAGTAGGGTCTAGTGAAGGAAAAAGGTATGAGAAGAAAAAGCGCCGTTGTCCTTTCCTTCTGCATTCATCATCATTACTAATTTTATTATTATCACTTAAGTTTTCTATTTTCGAATTTTTTACCTGTTGGCCTGTCCTTTCGTGGGAAGGCCAACGGTTTGAATTTCGAGTCAGCGATCCGCGGCCTAAGTAGGCCGATCTTGCGCGTACTGTCTATGGGTGAGCTTCGAACTGGCGCCGTGTGGTGAGACCCCAAAAGGAGGGCGACCCGCGGCCGCATTGGTAGGAGACTTATCACCCCGAATGGATGGTCATAGGTCCCCTCCTTGCCATCGGATGCGGCTACCCGTTAGGGAAATAGGCGGTAGTTAGTTTTAAGGAAAAAAAAGCACCGGTCAGTATCCCGTTATGGGACCACTGCCTGGAGGTCGCGATTATTATCACGGCAGGATTAAACGACAGGGACAAGATGAGAAAGGTCTGAGTGTGCAGTGACTAGCGATGTTTAGTTTATCGCTCCACTCTTTTCCTTTGTTTTAACTTTAGTTTAATTTATTTTATTATCCCCAAGATTCACGGGATATTAATAAGCCAAAACTAAGGCTATCTTGGACTCTTCGCTCAAAGCATGGGGATCGCAGTGCAGTAAAAGTCTATAAAAGAAGGGAAAAACTAGGCTACTGGGCGGTTTTTAGTATGAGGGTACTTGCGAACTAGCTCGCTGCATTGGCGCTGCTAGTCAGGGGCCGAAGGTTGGAGTAGTGGAGACAGGCGTTAAGTCATCCAAAGTGCGTACTTCTGGGGTCGGAACTCTGGTTATTCAAGACGCGGCTATGGCGTTGCATGGGTATAGACCGTGCTACTGGTACCACCAGATTCGGCGGAAGCCTATGTCCGGGGAGGAACCCTGGATCACGGCTATACTCAACTATGATGGGGGTGACGAGCTGAGACTGAGGATCAACGTAGAGGGAGGAAAAGAGGAGGAAATGCGAACTGATGGAAGTCTACAGGACGCTATCACAGAGACGAAAGACCGTGTGGAGAGGCGCTGCAGAAGAGACGATGTGACGACGAAAATGCAGGTAACAGTCTCGTATCATGAGACCGAGACCTCAATGGACACGGCGGACTGGGAGCAGGCCCACCTGGAACGAGACTCAGGTGGGGAGAGCGAGATGCGCGAGGCGGAGGACCAGGAGACGGACCTCAGGTCCTGGATCAGACCAGGCGAGATCCAGAGGCATCACCGGGCTGCGAAGCCGGTGGAAGAGGGACCTGAGACCAGCTCACGACAACTGATGCCCAGAGGCCGTGGGACTGGGGAAAAACAGAGCAAGGGGAAGAAACGGGTGTGAGGCAAGAGGGGATCGACACGCGTGGCGAGAGGGCCGGCAGCGGAGGGGCTGAGGCAAGGACATGGCGCAAGCGATTTTTTTTTGACATGTGTCGTGCGAAAAGGGGGATATACAAGGTCAACGCGTGGGAGAAGAAGAGGAGCGGTTACGAGAGAACGCATGCGCTACGCGTGGCGTTCCAAGAAGGGCAGAGGCGTGAAATTGGGAGATCTGCTCAATGCTTCCTCACATCATCTGAGGGATAAGCCAGTGCATAGGGGTAGGGGAGGATCACCCAGGGAGCTGTTTTCTTCAATCTGTTCCCGCGCGCCAGACTTCTTGGGCCTGTCCTTGATCGCCGTGTGGCATGGCCTAGAGACCACCAAACTGAGGGAGTTGGTGCGTGCCAGTATGAGGGCCGTCGATTCGTGAGTGGCATCGGTAGGAGAAGGAACGAAAGAGGAGGTTACAGAGGGAGAGATAGGGTTAGCGCTCAGTGTTGGGGAGACGTTCCTACTCATCGCCTGACAGATGAGTCTGTACGCTTGCACCTTCAGGCAACCAATTGGAAGTTAGTACCTCGAGCCGTCCTCGCGAGCTTGGTATAGTCTGAAAAAGCAAGAAGAAACCAGCACATCGAGAGGACGCATGATCCGGGTGAGAGTGTTACTCTGATTGACGTCAACGATCGCCCTTGCTCCAGCGTGATGCTCTTGCTGCGAGCAGGGCTAGCATACGTGCCTCTTCAACCATGATGTCACATAATGCAATGGGTGACGAGTTCACTCGGATGAGACCTGATGCATTTTAATGGTTGTGGGAGAGGATCTCCATCGCGCGTGTATGTACGGGGTCTAAGCTGGTTGAAGGGGGAGCGTTTAGCTATTTGTTTTCAAGCTCCTGCAAGAGTGATCCGACTCATCCCCCCCCCCTCGCTATCAACTAGTGACCATTAGTCATTGGTGAGAAGTCAACGGGAAGGAAGTTTTAGCGGTGTGAGTTACGAGGGGAGCCTAGGCAATACAGTTGTCGTCAGAGGCAGTCTTTGCGTTTCATGGATGGTACACACACGAACCGGCAATCTTCAGCATTGTCTTGAAAGCAGGGTCATGAGTAAATTGTGCGCGTGTTACCATCGCCATAACATGTTGTGGGATAGAGCATCTAAGTAGAGAGAAAAGGTTATCAACGTGGGAGGGCTTATATACACGTCTGGTTTGGGGCTGTTATTGTCACCTGGCCTATTCGAAGTTACCCTTCTCGCTAGGACTATGGTGTTGGGATACTGCTCTGACCTCCGTCACTGACTCAGAGAATCGCAGTGAGTAGGGGCGAGGATAAAGCAACATGAATGATCGAGCGACCCTCGGGAGGCGATTTAACTTTGAGGAGTGATTGGAACTAGTCTTCCAGTTCAAAGTCACTTCACTTCTTCTCCAACCAGGCAGATCTGCTATGATCGAATGAGTATCTGCTTCTGCTAGACTTCATGTTGTCCGGGTTGCACTAACAGACGGGTTCTTGAGAAAGTAATGGAGAGGTGATTCTCAGTTAACATCAACGCCATTCATGCATATGCGTTGGCTATCAGGTAGCAGTTGACTAACCAGAGAGCTATGAAAACTTGAGGCACTAGGACGTTCTTGTCTGAATGGGCGCTACTGATCAGACCACAAATACGTTGGCAGGAGTTCTGAGCTAAGTAATAATTAACGATGTAAAAAGTTCTTGCCTCTGAAAACGCTTGTCTCTTGTCAAGACTCGACAGGGTAATGAAATCTCATCTTTATAACTGAGTATGTCCGGAAAGTACCAATTGTTTCATGAGTTACGAGCTTGTCATTAATCGAACCAGCAGCTTGTGAGTAGCTCTCGAGGGTGATTGTCGTCAGTAAATCGAGTAAACTCGTGGTTGGAAATGCAGGGATCGTCACTTAGGCTTCACGCTAGAAGTCAGTTGATAAGAAAATGACTAAGTAACGAGAGAACTCGTCTTGCATGCTTCAGTCGCGTGATCCGAAATCTGGCTAAGGATGTGGACGAGGGCTTCTAGTATGAGCTGCGATATTACAGAAGAGAGTAATAGAAAGGTAACAGGTCAGGGCCAAGGAACACAACGAGTGAAGTTTAAACCTGTGTGATAATTTTATCTGGTCTCTCTTGTGATTTCGGTGATAAGTCAAAATTCTACTCTCAAGTTGTGCGTGGAAATTGGACAAGGACTAAAGTCCTTGATGTCACTAAGAGTCTTAATCTATGTTTATTACCTTGCATACAGCCGTAAGAGCGCTCGACTACAAGAGTCTGTATGTCCTCTTGTTACCGAACGTGTTTACGGTTGGGCAAACTTACATGCTCTTTCACGATTGAGTTGCGGACTCATTGGAACTAGAATGAACGGATGAGCATTTAGACAAATACACCTACGATTACCTGAAAAGAGGAAGCACAACGACGACCGATTAGAGCAAGCTAGTATGATGAGGATGGTCTGCTAATCGATGCTGACTGTCTCTGACTTATTGGATTGGCTTGAGGCCGTAAACTATCATTGAGAAAAAGAAACGGAATGACATGTTAAAACCAGTTTGAATGTCTCTGAGTCTCCCCAGGCTTATCCTTCGTTCAATGGGCAGAAGGCAACGGATCCTAAAGAAAGTAATTTACTTATTGGCTAAGTTTCTCCTGGATGGAGACTGAGATTGGACTCTGTCTTTACCCAGGGTAATCTTTCCACTCGCTTGGTAAAATCACGTAGAAAGTGAGGTACGGCCAAAGGCATCAGTGAGGTTTTTTTCTTGAGTTGGGCAAAATTCTTAGTTTGTTCTGGCCTTCCCAATCGCCGCTCATTAGTATCATGGAAAGAGAATGAGCTGCCTTTAGTGAATCTCAATGGTAAGTTATATTCACTCGAGTCAGTTTCGGTCGTTTGCTCTGAAGGACAGAGCAGTACCGTGAGCAAGGGCATTCTGAGAATTTTACTGCATTTAGACGAAAACCAGACCTATGTTTTGTGGCTACGTTTAGCCGTCGCTCCGAGGATTTGCGAGAGCCTGAACAGTCTAGCTCCCGCTGTTGTAGTGTTCTTTTTCTGAGTAAGTGCCCAACTGTGGCTTGTTGGACTGGAGTCTAGCGTCCACTGAGACTGCGTGGCGGTCTGTTCCTGCTGTCCTACATGCTTCACTACGTCCCTTGCTCACCTCTATCTGAGAGAACAGACTACTCACTGTGAGCTATCCTAACGATACTCCTCTCGGCCAGGAGTTACTCGAATCAGCCACTAACGAACCGGCCGTTGAGAACCTTTTTTAACAGCTATCGGTCTCAAAAGAGATATACATGCGTCAAGCAAGACAGACTAAATCAGGCAATCAGTTCAAGGTTTCGTTTATTTATTTAGACACTTCTGCATTCCATTCAACTACAGTCGATGCAGGCACAAAACTGATACGACAAACCAAAGCAGCAATGAACAACAATCACTCGGTGCTCAGGTTACAGTCATTTGATGCTCAACCGTTGAAGCCAGACAAAGCGGCGAGACACGAGTAAACAGCAAATTGTTACGGCACATGGCAACCAATCGGTAACCTTCCATAAGTTTTCATCAGAACTTGACCACCCCTGAATGGTGATTTGATTTCCGTCTGATTAGTGCCTAAACCGTGGTAGAACGTGCAGAGGTCCGTCAGCGAAACACTGCAGATAAAACGATGAATAAGCAACGGCCTGGCAACCCTCAAAACCGGGCAATCGAGACACGAGCTACTTTTATATCCGTAGCCCTCTACCAGAACTTGGGGTTCACTGCTGGGGACCTGATTGAGACAAAAAGGAAAGCATGAAGGATAACGAGATCCTAGTGGTGAAAAACACTTAATCAGAGAAAAGAGAGAGGGGTGGGAGAAGGAGGCTTTCAAAGACATGGAAAACAACATGCAAGTGCAGAGGGAGTATGCAGTGGGAATTGCCGGTGAAAAGAAGTACATTGAGTATGTAGTTTATTTCTACGGGCCTGACAACAAGCTACATGGCACCGGTTCTATGCTAGAGAGCGTGGCTCGGGTGAGCTTAGCAGTACCTGAAGCTTACCACTCTCGAGTTCTTACAGTACTCAGTTCTCAACAATCGGTTCTCAGTATTCAGTTCTCATATTCAACTCCAAACAATCAATTTAGTAGGCAAATCAGCAATCAGACCAGTCACCAGCGAAACAGCAATCAGAACGACAGGCATCAGATCAATAGTCGGATCAGCAACCAGATGAAGAATTGCCAGATCAGCAGTCGGATCAGCAAGCGTTCAGTTTCCTGATCAGCATCAAGATGCAGCACTCAGAAAACAACGGCTAGTTATCAGCAACCAGCTCTCAGCAGTTCAACAATCAACTCAATAGCTTTTCATACCTAGATCATCAAAGAGTCACCCGTCTCGAGCTGGTGATCCGATGTAGCGAGAATTTAGCGAGAATATGGGCAGCACCAACACAGTTAGAGTCTCCTGTAGATTTGGAGGGAAAGTGCAGTTGAGGAGTACAACCAGCAGACTATTATGATAATGGAACATGCACTGACCCTCGTGAGAAACCATACTAAAATTGAATACACATACTTTCTGCACGGCAAGGATGGGAGACTATGTGTCATCATGACTTCTGAGGGTACTGTTGAGGAGACAAGGAGGACTATTGGCAACTATCAGTGAACGTTCTGTCTCCGAACAAGAACAACTCACTTATCTGGCCAACCTGCAATCATCTAATTAGCAGTCAATCATTAGCAATCAGTTATTATTGGTAATCAACTTTCAGTAATCAATTTCCCGCAATCAATTTGGTGACCTGTTCTCCGGGACCATCTGATCAGCTTGTACTGGCAAGAATACTCATAAGCACAGCTCAGTCTACACCGGTCAGTGAGTCAGTGCTGGCCAACCTCAATCGGTTCTCATGCAAGGAGGCATTTTGTTATCAGTATGTTAGTGTCATTTGTTTCAGATAGGGAGATCTGTCAATCTTCATTGTCCAGACCAGTTTTGCTGATGGCACTATCCATGATCTGAGGCCTTATCTGAAGAAGGGCAAGGAG